CTCTCCAACTGCTGAACCTTTCATGTCGTTTTTTGTTTGACTCTCTTATTGGCTCTTTCTTTTTTGTATGTCATTGCTTTTTAGCATGTTCAGTATCTCAGAGATTTTTGATTCAGCTTTTTGGTTGCTTTAGACATTTAGGTTATTCTTTTTAGTTGGATTCCTTCATGGTTGTTATCCAAACTGAGAACCCATCTGGACTTTATACTTTATAACAAAATACTGATAAAAAATATTGATTATTATAAGTTGCTATTGTACATTAATGAATAATTATTTCAGAAAAGTTATGTAGTCTAAATGTCCACTTTGCATGACCTTGTAAAATTTAATTTCAAGGTGTAAGATCCAGTTTGAGCAATAATGTAATAATAGTTAAACATAAAAAGTAGATGAGGATTTATAGGAAGTATCCACAACAGTTGAAGTAAAGCTTAGTGAGGTTAGCTTGAGTGCAGCTAAAAACTCATAATAGCTTTTCTTAAGACCTTCCGACATATATTAATTTCAAAATACTATATGCAAAAAAAATATTATATATTATTTCACATTGAAGAGGGGCTTATTGTTAGATATACTCCACTGTTTCAGTCAAAGTTTAATGAGAGAGTTATGATTTAAATGGTTTATATAGCATGAGTGTTAAATTTAGTTCTTTTTAGAAGCCATAGTTTATCGCAAGTTTGTTTACGTAACTGTTTATAAATCATATGTTGTGTAGTTCAATAGTTATCAGTTGGTGATTGTTATTTTATTGTTTCATGTTTCTAGAACCTTCTGAGTTTTTCATGTTGTTTTAATTGAGTATTATTGCATCATAACATCTAGTTTTGTGTGGAATGCTCTAGATCTCTGTCAGGGTATAAATATTTAGTTCGATAGAGTTAGATCTAGATTGCGTGATTGTGAGTTTATCCATAAAGTATGTATGGTGGCAATTCTTAAAGTGACATTATCACAGACTGTATTGTAATAACAGAACAGAGAAGAAGAATTTGTCTTGTCAAATTGTGTTCTAAAGTTATTTAACCAGCCTCTGTGGACTTTGACAAAAAAAAAAATACAATTATCTAAAGCTCTGGATACAACTATGATAATCAACAGTGTAACGAACATTTATATATACATTTGACTTATTTTAATATATTATTTTAAAACAAGTGAACTGTGTGCTGTTTGTTTATTGTTGAAATTTATCTCAACAAGTCACAGATACCTACTGTAAATAATCCAGCCCATAAATACATAAAACTGACAGATATATTTGTTGTTTTTCTGGAGAAAAAAATAGTGACATTCACAGTTTCTGAATTAAGTTTAACAATTTTAAAATTG